AAACAAGAGGGAACCCAGAATGACATTTAAAGGCGGTGAATCAGTCGCTTGAATCACATTACACAGTTGCTCATGTTTTCTTAATAAATCCCCTCAGAAAAACACCATTGGAGGTCACATAAAGCAGTGTGCTTGCTTTAAGTCAGAAAGTTCCCACAGTAGTCACCTGGAAGGACAGGTGAGGTGTGTGACATGCCTCAAGCCATCTCAGAAATACCATCATGAGGAGGTATGTTCAAGAGCTTCAGGGGAATAACTTCAGGTCGGAGCAACATGTAGAGAGCAAACTACAGAGAAAACCTCTTCAGTCAAACAACGCACCAAGCCATTTTTCATAGGATGCCCATTTTCCACAAGTTGATATGATTCTTTAGGGTCTTAATGAAAAGTCTGTAACATAGTTTGGTTAAAATTTCTCAATGGTAGTGTAAAAAACACCTTTTTTACCCTGTCAAAAACGGCTCTTTTCAGATCAAGCCGTTTTTGTAACATTTTCCTTTAAATGTTAATGAGGTCTGCTGACCCCGCCCCTCTCTTCCGAGCTGCTCTCAGAGGTACTGTTTACTTTAGCCGCATTCATCGTGAAACTTGCTAATTAGCACATTATTAGGAAAGGCGATTTGCAAAGAATCATTACAAAACATTTTACATAGACGCATTTATGTAGATCGGGGGCGCATTCCCTTCAGAAACAGATGTAATCCACTGCGTCTTCAGCGGCTGAGATGTCGGGCGTAAATGATGACTGCTGTGTTCATTATTACATCCAACAACAGAACACCTCAATCGCTTAGGAGTCATTCTTGTCTATATCTGCTCCAGCGGTGAAACAATGGCGGGCTGATGACAGCTCACGCAGGGTGGGTCTGAGGTAAAAGGCACCAGTCCAGTCTGTGCTGAAATGCTACTGTCAATCAAACTATCGTGGGAGGGGCCTGTCTGTGTGACGTCACACAGACAGGCATCTGAGATCGGCTCGATTTGAGAAAGGAGAAAACATTTAACCAGATTTAAAAAAAAAACACTGGGTGGATTTTTATCATTATAGGGTGGTTGTGTACACACTACCAACACACATTTCAGTTCAAACTACTTGTAAAAGTGCATGTAGCATCCTATGACCTCTTTGACACAAATAATTTAATTGTAATTCAATTATTTTGGTGAAGTAAATAAATTACATAGAAATTAATAAATGCTAAAAATGAATGATAGTAATTCTTAAAAAAATGTTATGAAGGCAAGCGGGTGATAGGAATAATGGTCAATACAGTATACAGTTCATTGGTCAGTAAAGAAAAAATATTTGCTGCTAAACTGTGAGGATCAAAATTAAGCATTCTATTGACCTGCATAAGAGCTTTAATGTTTCAGAATGAAGATAATGTTTGCTTTATTTGTGGCTGGAACAGTAGTGCAGACCACGCAGCCCTTTTTTTCTGATAAAGCATGCAGGAGAAAAGCTTAAAGTGTGTACTTGCTCTATTAGCTTGCCTACTTTGTTTCTCATTTGTAAATGGCTCTGAATCGGCATCAGATGGCTAAATGTAAATGTCTAGTCTTTGTCCCTCTGTCAGGAATCTGTCCTTAACGTGAAAGTCACCCTATCAAGAAGGGACATCCTGATCTGTCTAACATGCTAATTCAGAGCGAAGGCTTCACCAGGGAAAGCTGAGGCATGAATATTTCAGGAGTCGTTCACTTGAACACATGTTGTGTGTTTGGTGCCGGTCCATATGTTCACTCTCTCTGGATACTGTGTGTCTCTGTCTCTCTCAGTCTCACAGTCACACATATAGACACAGGTGTAATTGATGTGCAGTGCTATATGATGTGATGAACACAGACAAGATGTCAGGTCATTAACAGAGAACGTGGCTTAGACGGCTCAGGGGAATGGGAGGAGATCAACATCTCAGAAAGAGGGAGAGGTGTTGATTGCTTTAGTTTAGCTGTGCTCAGATGGATCATAGCCTGTGGGATTCAGCCTCTTCATTCTGTATCATCTATGAAAATTCACCCTCTGATTAAATGCACATTATAGACATTCATTTCAATGTGTGCTTCTTTCTTTCATTCTTTCATCTACTTTCTTTCTTTCTTTTTACTTTAGTAAAGTAATAGCCATTTATAATAAAACTCATGAAATAGTTTAAATGTGTTCAGATAAATATGTTAATCCTGAAAAATGTATTCTACAGTTTACACAAAAATATCAAACAGCACAAGTGTTTTCAGCCATGATGATAATAAAAAATGTTTCTTAAGCAGCAAATCAACATATGTGACCTTGGACCACAAAACCAGTCATAAGGGTCACTTTTGAAGATTTATACATCTGAATAAATAAGCTTTCTATTGATGTATGGCTTGTTAGGATAGGACAATATTTGGCTGAGATATAACTATTTAAAAATCTGGAATCTGAGAAAAATCACCATTAAAGTTGTCCAAATGAAGTTCTTAGCAATGCATATTACTAATCAAAACTTAAGCTTTGATATTTACGGTAGGAAATTTACAAAATATCTTCATGGAACATGATCTTTACTTAATATCCTAATGATTTTAGGCATAAAAGAAAAATTTATAATTTTGACCCATACAATGTATTTTTGGCTATTGCTAAAATAGCCCCAGCGACTTAAGGTTTTGTGGTCCAGGGTCACATATTAGAATGATTTGTGAAGGATCATGTGACACTGAAGACTGGAGTAATGACTGCTGCCGCCACAATTTTGCCATCAAGTTACATTTTAAAATATATTCAAATAGAAAACTTTATTTCAATTTCACAATATAAAAAAAAATCTTACTGGCCCAAACCTTTGAATGGTATTGTATGTAGGCGAAAAAATAAATGTTTGAAAACCCCCGCTCTTATACACAGTGTGTGGTAGCAACAATTCAAGTAGTTGATATAAGATGACTATGTTGATGTGTTGCACTTAGTGACAGAGAAATGACATGCAAAGTTTCATTATGAGACTTTTTGCTTGTCATTAAACAACAAAGTGATGCTTTGATCCTCCCGTGTCTTCAGTTTTGAGACACTGTTGGACAACAGAGCACCCGTTTCGCTATCATCTCATCTTACAGCATCCTCTTTATCAAATCAGACCTGCCTGGAAGTGAACTACTCCTTTAACTCACTTTTACTTTGCGTTTACTCAACATTGAGCATTCTGGAACTATTTTCAAAGGCAGCCTAATTACGATCACTAAGTGAGAGAACTCGGGAATAAAATAGCAGATTATGTAGCATAGAGCTGCTGTAATTTGTACAGATTCGAGTATGTGGAGAGAGTGCTGATTTCCCAGCAGGCTCGGTGTGGGCTCCGTGCCTGTTTCTAGAGTGGATATACTCAAGTCGGGTCAGGTTTGGCTTGAACAAGTAGCCAAGGATAACACAGGGCAATGTTTCTGGTGGCTTCAGCAAATTCAGATTTCCGCAAAAATTGGGAGTTATTAAATATCTAAACATAGCCATTGATCAAAGGTGGAAGAAGGCTGAAACTTCAGGACAGACTTTTTAGCTTCACACTTGGCATGTTATCAAGGTCTCTCAAATGCAACACAGCACAAAGGAGGATGTAAATTAATTATTATATATCATGGCACTGTAATATACAGTATATATGTGTGTGTGCACCGGTTTGGGTGGTTTATGAGGACAGAAATTTGTATAATGGCGTGGGTCTGACATACTATAGGCATTACAATGTGAAGGTGGTTTATGAGGACACTACCTGTGTCCCCGTTATTCAAAAAACATAATATTTTTTTGTTTGTTTTTTCTGTGAGGGGTAGGTTTAGGTGTAAGATCGGGGTAGGGTGATAGAAAATACAGTTTGAACAGTATAAAAAAGCATTATGCCTATGGAGAGTCCACATAAACCACCTATACCAACGTGTGTGTGTGTGTGTGTGTGTTTTACAACCGCTAGACTACACTGCATTTCTCTTTCTCTGTAAGCTTGCTAACACATCCTCATGCTGCATAACACAAACAAAACCACTTCAATGTTTGTGCAGATGGCAAAAAATCTCTGAAGTCTCCATATAAGCATTAGTGCATTGTGCCATTTATGCAAACTCATTACTAAAGCATTTCAGATGTAACTTCCTTCAAACCCAACTGGAGTTGTCACGTCAGCAACTGCAGGATTAAGAATCTTACAACCTTATTATGGTATCTGGGCATTTTTACAGGAATTATTTACATTACTGCAACTGAAGATGGCAATTTTCAACTGTTAATAAAGTACTTTCTATAAGTATGCAGGTGTGCAGTATGTATATATATATATATATATATAGTGTATAATACCACAGAGTAGAATCTCTGGGCACACCACAGAAATTCAGGACCTTATTGGAGTGCATCATTCAGATATCTGAACATAGAAACATAGACGCAGTGGGGGAAAAATGGAACAACTGAAATTAAACAAAAAATATAAACGGTAAAAAAAATGGAATAAATAAAAAATGTAGAAATATAGAAATAGTCGAAAAATGGAATAAAACTATAAAACAGAAATATTCCAAAAATTGAATAAAAACAATAAAAAAATGGAATAAAGTAAATAAAAAAATTAATATATAGAAATTATCAAAATATGAATCAAATTAAACTATAAAACAAAGAAATTATATATATATATATAGAGAGAGAGAGAGAGAGAGAGAGAGAGGTTAGCTTTTGTCTGTCCAGTGGTTAATGGGCAGTCATACATAAGGGGACTGTGGGTAGGAAGTGATTTAGGGAAACAGAAAGGGAATCTTAAAGCTTCCTCCTCATTCTAAAGAATAAGGATATGGATTCACAAGTTGGCATGGAGACATGTATCAGCTTTTTATCTTCCATCTGCAAGAGTGGACTTTTTTTTAAAGAACTGACAATGTCATTTGGATCCTGACTACACAGAAATGCGACCAAGTATGAGATAAATGTGAAAATGATAGTTAAATGTGTCTGTTTCTGTTTTTCTTTCCAGTCTTCATCTGCAGTTTCATGGTGGCCGCACCCATTTTTGGTTACCTTGGGGACCGCTTCAACAGAAAGATCATTCTGAGCTGTGGAATCTTCTTCTGGTCCTTTGTGACGCTGCTAAGCTCCTTTATTACCAAAGATGTAAGTGCCATACTCTCTTTCCCCTTTACAAGTAGCAGCCTAAACCTTGCTCAGAACCTCTTAAAGCAATCGTGTCATCATGACTATCACATTAGGATAATTTTTTAAAATATAAATGTAGTTTGTTTTTGCTCAGAAAGGTTTAGGTTGGTTCTTGCAGTGCTAGTTGTGTATTTTTAGAAGCAGAACAGCAACCCAGCCCAGCAGTAGCATCTCTTAAACTCATTCAGTTTCTGGCTCATTTGAGAGCACTTTGAAACTAGACTTGAGTCATTTAGCATAGCAGGACCCATTTTACATATAATAAAAAACTCAGTGTACTTTATTATTTAGATGTCTCTCTCTCTCGCCGTTTGCTTCCCCCCTTTGCTGAGATGAAATGATTAAATTACATGCTAACTTAGCATAACACTAGGCCTGTCTCAGAAGACCTCTTGTTACAGCTCTACTGCTGTTCGTCATCTTCTTTGTCTTCTTTCTATATCTTAATCTCTGTTTTATCCAGGCCTCACTCACTCACGTCATTAAGAGTCACAAAAGCCACTAAAATTACAAATCAAAAAAGCATTTGTTGCCATTTAAAACTGACAACAATCAATTTGAACCAAGCTACACTGTGAATATTTAAATTAATCAAAAGTCAAACACACCCCTTTCTAAGCAAATTAGGCCCATAACAATAGACTGAAATGTAGGGTGGGCAATATGACCAAAATCTTATTGTACAGTATGAGAAATTTTATTTCACGATAACGATATGTACCTCGATATAGCTATTTTTATTTTATTTTTGTTATTCAAATTAAGAAAAAGAAGCAAATTACAAGCACAACAGACCAAATAAATATGAAACAAACTTTTCATTTATTCAGCTACAGTAGGCTAGGTTTATTTAACATGTAGTAAGAAATATTACAGAAATTGAATAAAGTGTATAAATAAAACACTGCATAGTCTTCACTGTTCAATCAAACATTATTAACATTAATAATGACAGACAGCAGCAGGTAAATAAGGCTGCTGTCCCTTTAAGACCGACTGCACAGATCCAATATACTGAAACGCATGCGGTTTTCACCCAACTGTTTTCCATGTATTTAACATATAATCGACTGTGTTTACTTGAATACTCCACACGACGGGCATTATGACATTACAGTGTGCGTATTTGACCATTCAAGCACAATAAAACACGAAAGAGATCCGTTTTCGCGATCGCATGCTGTCGAGAAAGGGGCTTTCAGTGCGCACGCTTCGGTTGTGTGAGTTCTTTTTCACTGCTTATTGCACTTAATAACTTTATTTTCTCATTCATGCATGTTTCCTTAGCACTCAAAAGGTGTATAACGTTTAAGCAGTACTATGTTGCGCAGATATATTTGCATACCACGGAATACACAATATAGCAAAATCTCTAACGATAGACACTTTATTTCACGGTAACGATATATACTGGGTCATACCGCCCAGCCCTACTTAAATGCCTTATTCACAAAAACCAATGCCTAGCTCCCTACTGCAGTTAACAATGCTCTGTACATAATTGTGATTTTTATTTTTTTGGTCATGTACACTTTGGCTATTAATCATTAATAAATGCTTTACAAATACATTTTACAAATAAATTAGTCATTATTTTGAATTATTAATTTTCCTGACATGTTAACCTATAAAGTGACAACATCAATGCCAATAAATTAATTTTTAAACAAAATATTATCTTTGTAATATCATGGACAGTATAAATGGAATTTATGATATTTACTTTATTCATCATAACTATAGTTACAGATAATAACATAAGAACAGAAAAGTTGTTTGACATACAGGCAGTATTTAAACTGCTTCTTATCAAATTAGCTTGAACAGGACGATTCACGAGTCAATAAACCTACGCTGAGAGGAAGTAAGACAACATAAAAGCCAAACTGAGTAAGGCAGGCAAAAAAAAAAACATGAAAATTACACTGATGCTTGTCTAGATTCCCTCACAGACCATCTCAATCAAATTGTATGTGTGCGTGTGGGGCCAATCTCCAGGGAGGTCATTGCTACAGAGATAAAGAGTGGCAGCTAATTAAAAGGCCATGCTAATGAGAGGAAGAGTGCAAAATTACAAGGGAGGAATGTTCCTTGTGGCTACGATAACTGATTTTAGAGATATCTTGTGACATAGCATGTTTTTATGTGCGGAACATGGCAACCAAGTGCCAGGGGGGAGGGGGGGTATAAATGCGCTAATCCCCTCGATCTGCAATGCTGAGTCGATACTGACAGGACAAGCCACTCTGCATCAAAGTCACATGATCCTCCAAGACCACACACACATGCACATATGCATACATGAGTGCAGAGACTGCAGATATCCCTTTATCTGTCAATCATCCGACCCACGGTGGTGAACTGTTATATAACGTTCTCCACCAAGAGAAACTGCAGATCATCTCATATTTACGCAGAGATTCCTCATCAACCATCACATTTACACTACATCAATGTTGCTGCAAGGTCTGCATTACATTATTCATAGTGATCAAAAGGAGAGTATTATTTCATAAGAACACATTGAAATGATGAGAAATACTATTACGCCAAGAAATCATCTTATGGGATGAGAAATCTAGATTAAGTAAAAGTGTTCTCTAGTATTAGTCTGATGAAAATAATAGGCTGTCCAGCACTGATACACTCTGCTTTGAGAAGAAAATATCTACTAAATCTCTGTATGGCTTAAACTGACCTCACAACCTCTTGCGGATCTGTTCCTCATCTAAAATCCCTCGTAACTCGATGTTCGGCTTCTTTTAATTAGATTTTTCAGGGCTTTGGGAAGAGACAGTCAATTCACTGCACTGTGTTGCTGCAACAAGATTGAATGTTGAATGTTAAACATTAAAATCATGATCCTAAAAACAGAAGCAAGGAATATAAAGTGGCAAATGAAAGGGAGACTTTAGGATGTCTGATGCCCATGACCACATTTAACCTCATTGTGTCGCTTTTGTCGGATGACAAGGAAACAAAACATCAGGGGCTGTCAGTGGTGGTTTTTAGTTAGATATGCACATATTCATGCAGAAGGTATTTGAAAGCTCATGTTTATGCATATGGTTTTGAGGGATGATGGAAGCCAGACATGTACAGTCAGTCCTACAGTACTGCAGCCTCATGAATTGGTTGTGGTCTGGAACAAAGGCAACGAGGCAGATGTGTCAACTTTGTTGTTCAACCTTGGGGTTTCAACCACAAGCTCAAATATAAATTGAAGTGTGAAAAAAAAAATCTGATCGAATACTTACAAAGAAAGTAATACCTAAATACATACAATTACACCTATATCCATTGTGTCAAGACAAAAAAAAATTAATGAAAAAAAAAAGCAGGGAAAAATTCACTAAACAGTTGTACCACTTTTGCAAACAATCATTGATAGATAAATGGCTCTTATTTAATTTTGAAATATATATAATATTTATAATTTATAATACTTTGTAATATAAATTATTGTATTGTATGTACACATTTTAAATATGTATTGTATAATATATATAAATATAGACCACCAGCTTCAAGTCCCTCCCCTCCATCTCACTATAAATCCTCTCACATTGGATAACACATTAATGTGTGTGTGTGTGTGTCACCTCAACCATTCTACAGACGTGTGTATGTTCATCAAATGACAGCCCAAGCATACATTTTTCATGTGTGTGTGTTGGGGTGAAAGGAGGAAAGGATGTGTAAAAAAACAACAACAACCAGTCATCCACTCTCCCTCTTTGCCATCCCTCTATTCTCTTATTCCCTCACAGCACTTCTGTCAATAAACAACTAGCACATAGCTTTTGTCATTTTTGAGCAGAGTCATGAAAAGCAGTAAAGGAGCCGAGAGAGAGAGAGAGAGTGTGAGAGGGAGAGGGAGGGATAGAGAAATCCTCTCAGTGCCAGAGGATAACCCAGCTTGCTGCAGTCTCTCTTTGCTGATTCCTGTCACGTACACTAAAGAAATTCCCCTGCTGAGAATTATGTAACATTCAACAACAAGTTGTTTTCTTTTGGCTGTATGTCGTGTAGCTGCTGTCACACCAAAGACTGTCAGGTGAAAAAGAATAAAGGATGAAAAGCAGGAGAGGGAGTGAGGGAATCCCAGTAATGAAAAGTGACCATTGAATTGCTGAAGGGCATGAGGAATGCAGCCTCTGTTTTTGAAAGCAAGGGATGAATTAAACGTAAATTCATTCATTTAGCAGACATGTTTATCCAATGTGAATTACAAATGAGAATTCTAAATGCGGAAGCCAGTAATAATTGCAACACACTGTTACAAAAATCTATTTCAAATAAATACCGTTCTTTTGAACTTTCTATGCATCAAAGAATCCTGAAAAACACAATGAGAACTGTTTCTTGAGCTTCAAATCAGCATATTAGAATGATTTCCGAAGGTTCATGTGACACTGAAGACTGAAGTAATAGCTGCTGAAAATTCAGCTCAGGAATAAATTACATTTTAAACTATATTAAAATTGTAAGAATATTTCACAATATGACTGTGATCATAAATGCAGCCTTGGTGAAAGGACTATGTAGCTATATGTACGCACAGACAGACATCTCATTATCATTTACAGCAAGCTTGTTAGTACACAAAAGCCTGACACAACAGCATCTGGCTGGTCAGGTAGCTTTGTGAGCCCCCTCAGGAGATATCGCACATTAAAGTCTGCTATGACAGATCGGTATGTGTGTGCTGTGTATGTGCATCACATTATAATGGGATGACCTGGTGTCTCTAGAGGGTTTCCATGTTTGCTCCTTACATTTTGTCTCACTCCATTAGTGTTGGGTGTGGCTGGACTCCCCACTGCTGCCAGACTGAGACCACCAATGACATTCTAAAAATGAGATATTATGAAGGAGAGTGAGAAAAAGAGGTCACAACGTAAAAAGAAATGGACTGTGAGCACAAGCAACAGAGAAATCTATAAGTAGCTTCCTCAGCTGGGTGACTGCCAGGGTGACCCAAATTCTCCTCAGCAGTATGGATGTCCATTACACACCCACGGTTAAATGTCTTCACATGAACAACTATATATACAATGAGTCTAGGTCATTTCAGGGAAGGGTGGTTTCTTAGTCTGGCTTCCTTTCTCGCTGATAGAGGTCAGAGGACAACAGCCACATGTTCCCACTGTTTTAGAAATGTTGGACTCTGCCATTAACACATGCTCAGGTTTGATAAGAAATGTTGAACATCTAAAATGCCACACAAACATGAACACACTCTCAATGTCAATCGACAGATTTATGAAAAAGTTTCAGGGCTCAATGAGCTGTTATTCCTCGGATGCAGGACAGACTATTAATTTCTTTCAGGCAGGTAACATCTGTAAGGTGACTTACATTTTCTAATCATATGACCTTTTCTTTTGCAGTATTATTGGTTGTTAGTGCTGTCCAGATGCTTGGTGGGTATTGGAGAATCAAGCTACTCATCCATCTCTCCAACCATCATTGGAGACCTGTTCACAAACAACAAAAGGACCATGATGCTCTCTGTCTTCTACTTGGCCATCCCACTAGGAAGGTGAGTATCAATAGATATTAATGATAAGCAATATCACTGTATTTACTATCTGGTTGACAACCAATGCACATTTATTAATTTTCGAGAATAAAATGGGTAAAAGGACCCATTTGTCATATTTACAAGCCATTTTTTTAGCAATAAATAAACAGCAAATTATGAGATCTCTAAAAAAAACTTATTAGAATAAATGCTACATTTAGCTGCAGTGAAAAAACCCACAATGATGTTCGGATGAGCGGTGAGAGAAACCGTTCTTATCTTATTAAACTATTTACTATGATAGACATTTATTTTCAGACAAATCAGTGATAAAATCACTTGTTTAAAATAAACCTTGAAATACAACATGAATAAGTTGTAATAATGACATGAATCATGTTTCACCAGTTTTCTGAATTGGTCAGTAGGCGTCAGAACACTCAAAGGGCAAACACACAAGCCACTATTAGTGGTAACTGTCTTGTTCCAAAGTTTAAGACCTCTTTTGGCCAATCTGCTTTCTCGGCAAAGGGGCCAAAACTCTGGAATGCTTTACCTACTAATTTAAAACTAGAGACCAATGGTAATGCTTTTAACAGAGGACTTAAACAATGGTTAAAAACCAAACAACAGTGCTCACATGAATAGTCCTTCATACTCAATTACTATTGTGATATTGTCTGATTATGTTGCCTTTGCTTTACAGCTTATGCATGTACATAATTCTGAATGTATTGTCTCTTTTTTGTTGTATCTTTTTCACTTTTCTTTATCAGTACTCTTATTACTTTTATTGTTAACATTGTTATTATTATTAGCATTGTTAGTGTTATTGCTTTTTTTTTTGCTCTCTGAAAAGCCTTCTGTGGACTGGTGTTGAAAATTAGCATGTGTGCTAAAATACTTAAGTGCATATGGTTAGTCCAATGGAACTGTGATGTCCATGTTAAATAAAAAAATATTAATAATAATAATAATAATATCAGATGTGTAAATATTTAAATAAAATATTGACTCCTAATAGCATACAAATCCATTTTCCACATATGTTCAAGTCTCCATGCTTGCCTCTAATGGTCAGACAGAAATATAAAGCAGAATCCGTAATACCACCAGAGCTCGCAAACTAAACACACAGGGATACGGTTTCAAGGGAGGGAAAGGACAGAGTCCAGGCGATTTAATTTTGCTTAAGCAATTTAATTGTAGGTGTGCAGACATTCATTTGAGATGATTTTACAATAGCACTTTGCATTGTAAGTCATATAATATGATCTGATGTCCGACCTGGTCATTTTATTGCTATTTAACCAGCCATGATACATAGTCTCAGATACCCAGTATCTGTCAACTCAGTAAAGGTCAGTTGTGGAGAATTGAGCTCAGCGTTTTGTGTGGTCACCGCCTCAGACGGGCCAAATAGACACTGATATTCTAAATCTGCTGCTGCTGTGAAAGACTTTAAGCTCACCTATTATGCTCACTTAACACAGGCCGTGGCATTTTCTTTTGTTCACTGAGCTGGAAAAAGACTGGAGAGAAAAGGGGAAAAATAAACAGAGGAAAGGTGATAAAAAATTCATGATTGTACGTGCGCAGCATTTTTACGTGCATTACGTTCACATACAACATCTTGCAGTTTCATTGTTAATCTGATGGGGAAGACAAACAACAACACTAAATGTTAGTGCTAGATTTTTATAAAAAAAATGTTTTATACATGCAGTCGGAGAAAAAAACTAAACGCATGGCTGTTCCCCCACTGAACTGAGGAAAATAAATATCTGAACACAGCAGCTGTCGCCAAAAGACCTGTTCTGAGAGCTAGTAATAGTATCGATGAGAGATTGACTGCAGTTAGAGGAATGGACGGGATGGAAAAATAGCTGGCCCAGGAGAGTTGAGGTATTTGCAGGCTAACTGGGTTTGGCCATAACAAAGCGATCGACAGTACGAACAATAAGAGGTGAAAGACTATAGCGCTACAGTGTGCCGCCTCACTTCCTGTCTAGAGCCATGTTTATCTGCCGTCCGGTTGTTACTGTTTCCAGGAAGTGACTTTAGCCATGAGAGAAATGTTTAGCAGGAAATTTGAGTCCTCTTATGGGCATGGAAAAACATTTTAGTTGCTAATTTAGTTGCACAGAGTAATACTGACAACTTGTGTACAGAAACTTACAGACATATAAAAATGGTAGCACCACATCGCAAATGCTTGAAATGAATATCCAAAATCTCTCATCCAATCAAAGCCATCAATAAGGTTACAAGTGGCCGTATTCAATGAATAAACAATTCAGTTTAGAGCGTTAATAAAGTTTAAGTGAGGTGTTCTTGACATTGAAAGAGGTCCAGTGGACACTGAAGGCTCATGTTGAGAGCCATATGTATTCGCTGATAAGGTGCTATTGTTTGATGGGTCAGGTCGGTCCATCAGTCGGATATGCCAGGGGCAGTCAAAGATAAACAATGTGGTTTACCTGCTGAGCGACAGCCTGGCGCGAGTGTCTGGGAACATAGGAAGTGGGTATGAGGATAAATGCTGGGAGGGACACTCCAAATTTAAACAGAAGGATTCAAACTCTGCAGTTATGCCAGAGCCTGATGTGCAATAAAAAAATGAACAACCCCCAAATACTAGAGACTGCTGTTCCAAAACACTCTGTTAGTATACAGTATTCCTTAATAAATGTAAAATACTGTTCAAAATTCTGGGGTCGGTAAGAGTATTTTAATGTCTTTGGAAGAAGTTTCTTATGTTCAGGAAGGCTGGATTTATTTGATCAAATTACAAAAAAAAAAAAAAAACAGTATTATTGTGAAATGTTATTACAATTTAAATGAACTGTTTTCTATTTCTATTGTTTAAAAATGTGGGGTTTTTTCTGTGACACAAAGCTGAATTTTCAGCAGCCATTACTCTAGCCTTCAGTGTCACATGATCCTTCAGAAATCATTCTAATATCTGACCTCAAGCTTTTGAACAGCAGTGTATGTTATTAATCAATACTGTGTGTGTTTTTGTCACACTATGGCCATAGCGAGTTCACAGCTTGAGTGCTGCTGTCATTAAAACAAAGACTTGAAAGCAAAGCAATGTTCTGAAATCAATTCTAATCTGGGTTTATTCATGATAATATACTACAAAATATATATTCAGTTTGTACCTCTTGTTTCTTTGGCTTCCACACACCTTCACTAGTGCACTAGTGACAACATTGTTATAAAACCTTAAAATAGCAAAAACTTTTCTTTTCATTTCCTTTCACATACACAGCAGTTGAGAGGGTTGGTAACAGGTGTACAAACATGGGATGGAGACAGACAGAGAATATGGTGGAATACTGTGGAACTGAAATGGAGACCTGATGGAAAGAAAAACAGCGAGACACCCAATCAACTTTTTTTACACAGACTATGACCAAGAGGAGAAAACAATTCATACAATGCCCGATGACTCAGTCAAATAACATCCAGTGACAGTCTCAAACCAGATAATCTGCATACACATAGTATACAGAGAGAATATTTCACGTGTGCTTCATTCACACCGAGATCATAACAGGACAATTATGAACTTTATCAGACTGTAAACAGGATGTAGAGCTGAGAGAGTTTGGTCTACGTCTGAAGAGATATGACTCACAGATTCCTCAGATACCGACAGAGTTGAAATGATCCCACCTTGAGTGGCCGCCTTTCTCTTTTCCTTATATCACTCTCTGTCAGGCAGTCTCGCCTTAGAAGGACTTAAAGGAAAGTTCATGAGACACATGCACTCTGCAGCCGTATCCTACAACTTCAGACAGGGATTCTCAGAATTAGGTCATCCGAACGTTTGATGTTAGTATTTCACCACAGTCCCCAAATCCATCCAAAAACCCAAGCGACAGGAAGCTGGCGACTCTCCCCAGTCATCTCTCTTTCTCTTTCCCTCTGAGCAGATCTGTCATTGTAAGCCCCTAAGTAATGCTAAGTGCTTGACTCTCTTACATAGCCAGAGGTGATGTTCAGTGTAAAGCCATTATCAGCGGCATTAGTATGCATGCTGAGTTCAGCCAGCCTTCCCAGCGCGTGAAAGTTTTAGGGTACATGACACAGCTTTGGGGGAAGACAAGTCGGGAAAAGAAGAATTGGTCTTTTGAATTGAAGGAGGCAGGCACATGGCAAAACAGCTTTTAAAAACTGTATAAAAGTTGGTCAACTGGTCTGGTGTGCTGGTTTTGAGGGGTTTAGGGCACTCGTCAACTACATTAAAATTCAAAACCAAAGTAAACTGAAAATACAAATTGAAAATAAAACAGAAATAAAAACTTTATTAAAGCTCAAAACTAAAATAACCCTGGCGTATACCAGCTATGCCCAGCAAACCAACCGGAGAGTGGATGTTTATTCCTGGAATACGATATATTTGCTTGCATATAATGACATGTTTTGCTCTCTCTCCGCAGCGGTCTGGGCTACATCCTGGGATCCATCGCTAAAGACGCTGGAGGGCATTGGTACTGGGCACTGAGGGTAAGAGCTGTTGAAATGTCTCAGTGTGTTGTATCAATATTTTAGAGGAAGCATGCAGAGCCTCAACAAATACACACCATTTCCTCTCGTCCAGGTCAAAAATATCCCTAAAACCCATGGCAGACAGGTGAATCCCAAAATACCTTTGGCCCGTCTCTTGAAAAAGCAACATAACATTCCTGCCCCCTTTGAAGCCTGTGCAATTGGCACTGACAATCCAGCTAGCTTAAGTGCATTAATTTAGCATTACCTCCAGCTCTCTCAGGTCCTGCGTATACACGCTATCCGTGAGTAATGCAAGAACAAGGTCTTCCCAGTTGTCACTGCAGTCTTTGTGCTGCAGAGGCCCAGGAGAAGAGGGGGCTCACTTACACACATACACAGACCCTTTTGATGTGGGATATTCCTCAGTAGCCTTAATGTATCACAGCGCTAACCAAAAGAGCAGAGCTGAGCACCTTTTAATGCAGCTAAAGTTACTAATTTATGAAACGATTGAGTGAGAGGAAGAGCTGTGGTCTGTAACTTTTTGGGCCGTAAAAGAGAGAGAGAGCAAAAACAACTTGAAGAAAGTGAGGGGCCTCTGAGGTGCTTTAGATTCTTTCATCCTTCATTAGCTCAGTGCGGTTTTAAAACCAGCTGCTTCACTTGTTCAGTTTAAACATTAACAGGTGAACGCTCCAGTTGGGCTTCATTACAAGTTCCTTTCGTGGGGTCATAAAGAATCCACCGAGGGTCTTATCGTGAACTTGAATTATGCTTGATGTGTGGCTGCCTCTTAAAACTCCAATGAGGTTCGGCTGTCAAGCTCTTAGGCCTAAAAGGAGACTTTTAAAAGAAGTGTTAAACCCTCTCAAGCTTACAAAAACACCTCTCTACATGACAGTTATATGACCCTCAGGAACATGAATAGCTTTATTTGGAGTAGTTTGTCGGAACACTTTTGCAAACAGTAGCGGAGCGCCATTGTTTGAGCTCTTGGATGCAGTAAAACATTCCTTGAGAAGACAAAGCTCGTGGTTTGGTGGACTATTAATCATCACTGGCACTTTAAATGAGTATAAAAACAACATACAGATGAAAAGGTACTCCGTATCGCCCATATCCTGTTCTGAGGGGGGAAAAAACATTTTGTGCCACTTTCCGCTTGCTTTGCAGGGCCCTAAAGAACTCAATCGCCTTCCGTTCTCGAATAGGGAGTGTGTTTTTTTGGAGTGGAGGATTAGATCATAATTATTGAGAGCCATATCAATCTTCTGCAGGTCGGAGAGCGGAAATGCCAGGAGAAATAGCACCTTGATTACACTCGCTCTTTGGCATCCCAGCTCTAACCTTAACAAGCACGAAAGAAGCTACAGTAGCTTGAGATTAGCAGGAAAGGGCAGCATCTTGTAATACTAAGGTAGGGTGCGAGACAGAGTCAGAGTTCAAGATGACTGATCAACGCATGCTTTGATATGAAACTAGACCAGAGAGACTGTGAGGGATGTCCCAGTGTGACTGTCAGAAAATAGGTCCACTGCAAAGACCTCTTTTACGGTTGCTGGGTTTTCTTGTTATGGAGGGATAACAAGACTAAATCCAGGCTTTAGCGAGATCAAAAGCACTGCAGTGCACACAGAGACACATTCAGTCCACAGAATCACAGTGTAATTCAGAAAACAGCAGCACATCAATGGGACGCAGTGATCCGTTTCACTCTCTTGTTGTTCACTATACAGATTTATACTGCTGAACACTGCAAAAAAAAAAATTCTAAAAAATATATAATGAAAACAAAAAATTATATCAATAATAATCATCATTTGTAATAACACTAATAATTAATAATATTTTTCTTATTTTCCAGTAAAATAATTGAATATCCTTACAAAATAACATAAAACAAATAAATAAAACAATTTTTAATTTATTAAAATAATTGAATAAATGTGTATAGATAATAATCAATAGTTTGTTTTTGTTACCCAATTGGATTTTTCCCCCTTGTTTTAAGCAAAAGTCTGAGTAAATTTTGTTATTTTGTTAATTACACTTAAAACAAGAATAAAAATGCCAGTGGCATAAGAAAATAAAATATATATACATAAATATACATATAAGTTTGAGGTCTAATTTTTGTGGAAACTGATAAATTTTTTTCAGAATTATTTAATGAATAGAAAGTTCAAAACAAAAGCATTTATTTGAAATAGAAAAAAAAAACAATCTTACCAACTACAAACTTTTTTAAAAAGTAGTGTATATTAAGATATAATTAAGATATAATATATAAGTTATCTTAAGTTTGCTTATATGATTAATCTTATTTTAATAGAAAATAATGAACTAGAAAATAAGACAAAAATATAGATTAGGAATTTTTGTGCAGTGCAGATGACTAGATATTTACATGCACACAAACACACCCATAAGAGACACAATTTTGAGCAGAGCTTTGCATTAATGTGCTATAAATGATCTCCAGGAGGATTGCGCCTGACAGACAGAATTGCTTTGGCTTTCACAAGCGACAGAGGCGCTTACACTCTTTCCATGTGGGCGAGCGAACCAACAAACGCATGTGCACACACACTGCTGTGCTGTAGCCATCAGGAAGGATGATAAAAGAGATAATAGCTCATGGCCTGGTGGACCGCAGCTGCTCCCACACAAGGGAGAAAAGTGAGAAAGAAAACGAGAGGATGGAGTAAAGAAACATCACCTAATGGAGTCCACTTCACACTGCAGTCTAGAGCACTGCCTACACTACACACCCTGATGTGAATATAAATAAAACTAATCTGTAACATACTAAACCATCGGCTAATCACAAAATAGCACCACCATTATGGGCTCAACGAATAACTTGCTAGACCAAACAGGATGCGAGACAGATTCTTATTGTTCAGCGCACAAGATTTTGTTGAACAGACGGCACAGACTCGCAGTAATACAAGCAAAAATGTTTAGTCTAGTTACAGCAGCGAGTACTGCACTCAAAACATTCTTAAGCAGAATTTTGCTTTTTTTTTCCCAGTAAAAAAATCTAAAAATGTTGTAAGGTATGATTTATATGATATAATAATACTTGATTTTTATATATTCTTAACAAATTACCAATGGAGTAGAAAAAAATGAACTTAATTCAAGATATCTTCACAGAAAACAATAAAATCTCAAGTAGTTTTGCTTCAAGTATACATTTAACTTGTTTCAAGTATGTTTACATATTTTACTGGAAAACAAGACATAAATACATAAGAAACTTATTAGCATATTTTGTTAATCCCTGTTTTTTTTAAACAGTTTTCCCCCCCTTCTGTCTCAAGGTTTCTCCGATGTTGGGGTTGATTGCTGGGACACTCATTCTCATTGTTGTCCCTGAGCCAAAGAGAGGGATTGCTGACCATATCACTGGACGTATAAAGACACGCACTTCCTGGCTCTGTGACATGAAAGCTCTTGCCAAAAAGTATGCCACTTGTTTATTTTTTTTCCCTATTTATCACTTAAAGGCACAATATGTAAGATTTTTTTTATTAAAATATCCAAAAACCACTAGAACAGTGTTAGATATTTTGCTGACTTGTGTACTTACATTATCCCAAATGTTTCGAAGAATGTTTAAATCCAGAGAAATAAGCAATTTATTCTACTACGTTAATAAATCATTAGCTCATCCATGAACATGATTTCTGCCCGAGTCCTGTCGGATTGCATCGGCTGTGGGGATGAAGACGATAACTCTCATGATTCCACACTCAGTCACAGCGTCATCAAACTACGCGTTTGTTTATTTTGAATACGCTCCCTCTAGTGGCGAAAAATTACATATTGTGCCTTTAAGAACGCAATGAACCAAATATTCAGGATTGGGGGTACAAGATGTAATCACTTAACAATCAGCCATCGAGTCAGAATATTGGACCCCTCAAAGTCTATCGTTTTTATGGTCCTGCCTTCACTTGAATTTGGTAACAGTGTATTGGAGCAGTTGGAGTTGTAAAATTTCAAGCAGTTTTTACAATATCCTGTGGTGTGACAAAGTACAATTCAACTAAAACTGTTTAAATTATAAATACATTGTATCATTTTAATTGATTGTTTAAAAAAATTATTCACACCACTGGACCAACCATCTTAGTTGTGGCCAAGCTGACAAAAATGAAGGAGCAAGAGTAACAGAAAAACGCATGTAGATGCAGAAAAATGCAAATGCAGAAAAACTTAAGAATTATGCATATTCATTCATTTTCTTTCTGCTCCCCAGCCGTAGTTATGTATTTTCATCTCTGGCATCGGCCGCTGTGTCATTTGCCACGGGGGCATTTGGGATCTGGATCCCGCAGTACCTGGTCAGAGCTCAGGTGGTGCAGAAGACAGCAGTGAGCTGCACCTATCAACCATGCAGCAGCAAAGACAGGTCCCAACATACACATGCCGCTTAAAATGTATTGTACAAATACAAACATTACACTTTTGACAATGACAATATTTCTCTCTCATCTCCAGTTTGATATTCGGAGCCATCACCTGTGTGACGGGGCTGTTGGGAGTGGTGATCGGTGCCGTGACCACGCGGCTCTGCCGACAGAAGACAGAGCGTGCCGACCCGCTGGTGTGTGCGGTCAGCATGCTGGGCTCTGCTATCTTCATCTGCCTCATCTTTGTTGTGGCCAAGAAGAGCATTGTGGGAGCGTATGTAAGTAGCTCTATTTTGGCTTCAAATTACCTTAAATCTTACTTGTGTGTGTGTGTGTGTGTGTGAATATATATACACACAAACAGGATTTTCAATGTACTACATATCTCTTCTAAATGTCCTCCATGGGTTACACATCTATAATCTGTTACAATATTCTTCATTATATTAGTTGGCATGGGATTGTGGTGCAAACACTGAGATTCTGAAAGGTTGCTTAACACTGTGGCCTGAATATCTCTAGTACAACTCCCTTCTGACTATCCTTGTATTATAATGAGACTTCTCTGTCAAATAAGGTCACTTCTATTCAGAGTTGTATATAAGGCTTTAAACGATATAAAGTCTGTTGCATTCAGTAGGTTTAACAGCCATAGTTGCTTGGCAGGGTTGTTAGGTCCAAACCCAACACTAAAAGAATAAGAGCGACAGGCACTGCGTACTTGTTTAATTGGCATGTAAAGCAGGAAAAGGGAGCAGTTTTCACAGTTACTGCTGAGAAACAATGGGCTGTGGCATTTCTGAGTCACTAATAGAGAAAAGTTATGCTGCATAAGAAAACAAAAAAATTCTATCAGGTCACGCTCGTTCTTTCAACAAAAACAATCAGGTCAGAACTAAATGCAACACGCTCCCTAAAGGGTCAAGCCGGACTGGGAATCTCTTAAGTGTTTATGATGAGAAGTCTGATGAGAAAGTATTTTTAGGGACTGTTTGTCTTTCTTATGAGCAAAAGAACCTAGTACACTGTGATAATGCCATCTATCTGGTGTTATGCTTGAGAAATTCTAAGCTTGCTCAACATTAGTCCCTTTATCTTAAATATGAAAGACTGGCTACTAACTGTACCCTCAAACTGATCTGGTTTTGCAGCCTCTTGTGCCTTTGTTAAAAGTTGTGATGACTTTGAAAAGATTTATAAAGCAGACGGTGGGTAGAACTTACCTGTGGGTAGAACTGGCTGCTCAGGTGTCTAGTTGGGGGTCACATGAATTCACACAATCTATAATAAATAGCACAAGAAAAGAATAACAATTTATAGTATAATAAAAGTAATTTAAAAATTATATAATAAAAAATTAATTCCATAAAAAATGCATACTACTGTTCAAAAATTTGGGGTCAGTAAGATTTTTTTAAAGAAATTAATATTCAGTAAGATGTATTAAATTGATCAAGTGACCGTAAATACATTTATAATGTTACAAACGATTTCTATTTGAAATAAAGGCTGTTTTTTTTTTACTTTTCTTCAAAGATTCCTGATAAAAAGTAACATTGTTTCCACAAAAATATTAATCAGCACAACTGGAGTAATGCATTGAAGTACTGAAGACTGGAGTAATGGCTGCTGAAAATTCAGTGTTGCAGTCAAAGAAATTAATTACATTTTGAAATATATTAAGATAGTAAATATTTACTTAAAATTGTAATAATATTTCACAATATTACTGATTTTACTGTATTTTTTTGATCAAATAAATGCAGCCTTGGTGAGCATAAGAGACTTTTCCAAAACCATTAAAAAAGGGCCAACCCAAAACTTTTGAACGGTGGTGTATAAAGTAATTTACATATAAATCACAGTTATCTCACTAAACACTTTATTGTAAATTGGAAAATATGGAAATAGAAAAAGTGAATGCCTGTCAGTCTTACTGAGAGCAACAGGGCAAATTTTACAGTAAATAATCAAATTTAAGGTATTTATAGAATTGAATGACACATCATTTGGACCACTGGCCTTCATGCCATCTTGTCAAACAGGTAACATTACAGTGTCAGTTCTGGGTAAAAATATACCCAACTCCAAACTAAAGACATGAGCGCCCTTTCAATCACTTGTCAAGAGGCTTCTGTAATTACATCCAAATGGAGCATACAAAAAACAAGGAATCCAAAATTTAAGGAGGGAAAATATTTGGAGCGAGAAAATTTGATAGTGACAGATGTGCAGTCTGAGAATGTGACAGCACGCTGGAGCTCTGTCAGGGTCTGTTCCAGCAGGGACAGTTGCTGTCTCGTCAGCATGTTAGCAGATCACACTTCAGCCTTTAACCAGAGTCCTGCAGGGCTTTATAGTTTTAGCCTGTCTGTCCATCCGTCACGCTGTCCAAGTCTCAAGTTACTTTGGGACAGAGTTTCATACATGTCCGAACACACACGGACACTTTCACGCTTTCGTTTCCTCACCTTCTATTCAGATATTCTTTCACAAATTTAAGGGGGTCTGAATACTTTCCGTACCCACTGTAAATGGAAGGTTCTAGACCCATAAACTAAAACCATCACCTCTGTTTTACACCCTGAGGTCATCCCTCTGTCAGCCCTGCTCAATATATCACTCTGAGCCCAACATAAGACCCTGTCAAAGTCAGAACGGCCACTTGAACGATCAAATTCCCCTGCAACCTACAGTTCTTCACACAATACCAGATGGTTTGACCCCAGCAGCTGCCGTCAGTCACATTTTGGCTTCAGAGATGTGGAAAGACCATCTACATTCTGTCAAGTCACTAAGATTAGTAGAGATATTCAATCCTTTTGTCTCAATCTGCCATAAGCACCTTGAAAATCCAGACCAGACACAGGGATATCAGTTAATTTGTGTGGGAATGCTGAAGTCAGTTAGTCTGTTCTCGTGGGATCACGCGAGTCTATTAAAATAGCTTGTTAAACGTAACACGTTTTCAGCCACCAGACATTTTAGGTTCCACTCTAGTATAATGCAAACTGTTGTCTCTTTTTTATGGTTTGGAGCAAGACACGGTTCTGTTGGCCTCAAATAAAAAATTACATATAGCACAACCACAGTATAATGACACGTTTTCATATCCCACAACATTTATTGGGGTGTTTTGATTTAGTAGATGAGCTGGGTTAATTGAGTCTTTGACCAAATGCAAACCCTGCTATCTGAATGTATTTATGTGCAAGTAGAGTAACTTTTCATTTTAAAGAATAAAATGAGATATAATTGACCTTTCTTCTTCTATTTTTCTCCCCTCACTCTCTTTCTCCCTCTCTTTTTCTTCACAGATCTGCATTTTCATCGGAGAGACGCTGCTCTTTTTGAACTGGGCCATTACAGCGGACATTTTAATGGTTCGTATTGAATGCTGTATTTATCTGCTGCATCAAGTGGAAACTTTAAAGCTTTTAACTGTAACAAAAGTGGTCATCTTCTCAGGCTAGTTTCTTATTTTGAATGGTGGGATGCATGACTACGAGGTTTGGTATAGCCTGGGTGGGGCCCAAGACAAAATTGCTGCCTTTGATTGCACTTAATGGAACCGCCACTCATGGAAAATAAAATTAAATAACATTTTCAGTTTGAATGTTTTTGTCTGAAGGAAGCAAGTGAGTTAGAGAAACTCAGTAAACAGAGAGTGAAAGATTTAGCAAGAAAAGCTGTCATGAAGTTGAGTCAGTCAAGGTCTTACTGCATACTTAAACTCCAGTCAGCTTCGGTCAGTGTAAAGCACTCTTGACAGCATCTGCTTAAAGGGATAGTTCACCCAAAAATGAAAATTGATGTTTATCTGCTTACCCCCAGGGCATCCAAGATGTAGGTGACTTTGTTTCTTCAGTAGAACACAAACGAAGATTTTTAACTCAAACCGTTGCAGTCTGTCAGTCTTATAATGGAAGTGAATCGGACTCATGGCTTTGAGAGTCAAAGAAACATACACAAACAAAACCAAATTAAACCCTACGGCTCATGACGATACATTGATGTGTAAAGACACGAAACGATTGGTCTGTGCAAGAAACTGAACAGTATTTATATAATTTTTTACCTCTGATTTACTGCAATGTCCAAACTGTGCTGAGCGCGTTCACATCTTCTTCTTCAGCTGGCGCGTGACGCATCTTCTTCTTCTTCTTGCTTTACGGCGGATCGCAGACTTATAAGTGCATTACCGCCACCTATCTCTGAAGTGGACCATTGACACTCCTAATTGAGAATGTAGATAGAGTGTCAATGGTCCATTTGAGAGATAGGTGGCAGTAATGCACTTATAAGTCTGCGATCCGCCGTAAAGCAAGACGACGACGCATCACGCTCCGGCTGAAGAAGAAGACGCGAACGTGCTCAGGCAGTGAGCACTCATGGTACTTTTATTTTTCTGTTATGGTTTAATGTGAAATTCTCACAGCTGTTTTCATATCACCTCTTTTCTCTCTCCAGTTTGTTGTCATACCGACCAGAAGAGCCACTGCTGTTGCCTTCCAAGGCTTCACCTCACATTTACTAGGGGATGCTGGGAGCCCATACCTCATTGGCTTGGTAAGAATGTCTCGCACACAGGGCAGGGAACCGCAGTGCTGCCTGCTACTAGCATGTACTGCTCAGTATTAAGTACTTGGCATGTACAGACATTATATGGCGGTCTTGGAGTTGGTCAGTCTAATTAAAGTGGAAGTGAAGCAGTCAGTTATGTTTACATTATTTAGTAAACTGATTTCCACTTTAATAAAAAATATTATAGCTTTTGGAGCATTGACATCGCCAATGGAGCAATACCACAGTCTCCTGTCCGTGCTTTTGACAGGTTCAGAGCTCTCTGTCATGTAGGACTCAGGGTTCAGACCCGTTGTTCCCTTATTCCATTATCACCTTCAACCTCTTGCAACAAAAGTGCATTTGCAGTGTGTTTGCTCTTTATTTGTCTCACCCATACACTTCAAAGTACTGCCAGTACATTGAATGTACTGGTATTTGAATCACCTATCTAGCACAGTTAATGATTTAAAGACTTGATGTTGAATCTGACCTGCGCTGTTATTCTAAGGTGCCGTTTTAGATGCTTATGTCATGAGTTATAAACAGTAACTCCTGTCCGTGCTTCTGACAGGTTCAGAGCTCTCTGTCATGTAGGACTCAGGGTTCAGACCCATTGTTTCCTTATTCCATTATCACCTTCAACCTCTTGCAACAAAAGTGCATTTGCAGTGTGTTTGCTCTTTGTTTGTCTCACCCATACACTTCAAAGTACTGCCAGTACATTGAATGTACTGGTATTTGAATCACCTATCTAGCACAGTTAATGATTTAAAGACTTGATGTTGAATCTGACCTGCGCTGTTATTCTAAGGTGCAGTTTTAGATGCTTATGTCATGAGTTAAAAAACATTCATTATTATCATTGTTGAAAACAGTTATGCTGCATAATATTTTCATGGAAACTGTGATACTTTTTTAGGATTCTTTGATGAATAGAAAGAAGAACATAAGTTATTTTAAATATAAATCTTTTATAACATTATAAATGTCTTAATTGTCACTTTCGATTATTTAAAGTGTCTTAATGCTGAGTAAAAGTATTAATTGCTTAAAAAAAACTTTACTGACCCCAAACATTTTGAAGTTTATGCATTTTATCAAGTTCGCTTTGTATTATACTTTGTATTGGATAAAAGTTTCTGCTAGATGAGTAAATGTAAATTCTGTGGGAATCAATCCCATAATCTTACTATTGCTAGTGTTTTGTTATACTATTTGAGTTCCAAGAATGCTAAAATGAAATCTAGCCCAATATGAAACAAGCAAATAAGAAAAACAAGATTTTAATTGACAGGAATGTCAGGAATGGCCCCTTTGGTTTTGAGACTTTAGTCTTTGCAACTTCAGGGATCTTATCTATGCACAATCAGTTTGTAACACTCCAAAGAGAAAGGGAAACTTGAAATTGCATCATATGACCCCTTTAAGAAAATGTGGCAGGCAGACAACACATTCAACTAGATCTGTGAATGAATAACATTTCCTAAATACCTGGTAATGCTCCATTTCACTCTAATTGATGTAAAAACATTTAGAGTACCTGTGTGAATCGATATCCTCAGGCATAGTGGGTGGTGTAACTGTCTATAAAAATAGGCTATCAGCTGAAATCTACCATCTGTTTTTGCAAAAAACCTAATTAGACACGCACCAGAAATGTTCAACCTCAGCCCTATTTTTATCAATAGAAATAGTTAATTTTTGGCATCATGAAGGCTGACATATACACACACATACAGGAGTGTGGTCTGCTCACACACACACAAACACACACATTTGCTAAGCTATCTAAATGGGGACATTCTGTATTTTTTATATACAGCTAGTTACAGATACCATAACCTAACCCTAACATGAAACTTTCTACATTATTACAATAAAAAAAAGCCTCTCTATTTACTTTATTTTATACCAGTTTTACAAATGAGGACATCCCCAAAAGGAGGTTTTGTCAGATTTAGCTTACTTCTGGGTACAAATGTGTCCCCAAAATATGATTAAGTAGGTACAAAGACACAGAGACCTCACTGTCAGCACCTAAAAACTGTGAGAGTAGAGTCAGCATTCCTATCCAACCCACGAGACTTACATGGCACGCTAGTGCTGATAAAGGATTAGCTATGCTAAAGCGAGTTAGATGGACTCTGAGGAGATTATTAGCCCTGCTAAACATCTTTTTAATGCTGCTGTTAGTATCTTTATGTCAAAATATACAACTTTTGCTTTATTTTCTAATATGCTACTTTAGAATAGCCTGAACAAGACATTTTAGCACATTAGCACTAGAAACATCCTCTTGTTTTCTGTTCACAGGTCTGTTATAAATAGTGTGCTTGGTTCTAAAGAGCGCATGAAATCAAGATTTGAGTTGTGTGGCCTTTAGTGTACTCCTAGAAGTTGACAATTTATTTTTAGCAGATGTAGACATTTAAAAATGATCTTGCAGGAAAACGGAACAAAAATATTACTGATTCATCCCGCACTACACTTTTTGTACAATTATTATACAATCAAATGCTCTCTAGAATGACTATATCTCCTGCTAATATGACATAGGCTCATTATGTGCTCATTAACATTAAGAACCCGTTGCTGACTACTGACTGAGTGAATCCTAAGGGCGCACACATCATAAAATGAAATCAGTTTGTAAAATTGAAACTAAACTAAATGCCTCCTTGATAGTTTAATCATGTTTATTGTCTTTTTATAAATATATTGACTCACTGTTCAACAGATACCAATAGCTTAAGACAAGTTAACATAATTAACCGTTCACCCTGTAACTGATTGACAGCACAGCTCTTGAAGACAATATTAGGAAGTTAATTATTACATTTAATGTCACTAATGACTCGCAGCAGATTTTTCCTTTGTTTGCTAATGAGTGCTCTTTTGATTGTGTCTCTATGTGCTAATGCAGATATCAGACGCGCTGCAGGAGAGCTACGCCACATCATCGCTATGGCAGTTCCTGAGCTTGGGCTATGCCCTCATGCTCTGCCCCTTTGTCATCGTTCTGGGGGGGATGTTCTTCCTGGCCACCGCCCTCTTCTTCCTCGACGACCGTGACAAAGCGGAGAAACAGTGAGTGCCTAGGCCTGTACTCATAACCTTGATAGCGGTAATTCAGTCCAGTCTTTTAAGTCATTATTATTCAAGTTGAACTTGAACTTGAAAGTCATTATTCTGACAACTATCTAAAGACATCAAGGTGCTTCCCTTTCAAGGCTTTCTTACTTTACGTTGCTAAACGGGGTTATCATTTCCAATTTCCTCCACTGACAATAACAATCCGGAAAAATAGTGGTTGCCATGGTGATTTTGGTAGCCTTAGCCATCTTTGTGTGCCTGGTGAATAGCCTCAGGTGGACAGTTAATCCGTGAGGATAAGCGAGATGGATAGATGGATAGAGATCTAGATGTATTCTCAAACAAGGACACTCTGCAGTTTAGTAGATCAAGACCTTCTCTTACTCAAATCATTAACCAGTACAGGAGAGATTTCAAAGTAAATGTAATTTCAGTATTCAGTTCAGACTAGCATTAGGCAGAGACAAGCTAACTGAGCAATTTTATGAAAGTAGACTTTGTCCAGAAAAACAGTCATGACGACATTAGAGGAATTGAACATCAAATAAACCCCAATGTTGTCTCTTGCTATTCAAGCTAACCAGACATGTCATTTCACTTTAACATGGCATACATAAGCCATCATATGATACTTTGTCCTATATATGTATATTTAAACATAGCCATTTTAAAACAGACCTTCATCTAAAACATATATGGAAGAGTCCCATTCCTTTAAAAGATAAAGACAAACATGATACCCGAACTTTGCGACTCACTTTCTGTTTTGTGGCCGTCTTGTTTTGTGTTGCCACTCAAAAATTACTTCCTTCCTGTCTGCTTGGGGACATTTTTAGGCAGGGTGGTATGTTTGATTACTGCAGAAGATCGTCCCACGATAGGTTTTAGAGACAGCCCAGGATGTTGACTGTTCTTCTCGTCTCGCCATCTATTACAACAGGCACATGGAGCACATTTTTCACATGGAGCTACTCAGCAGGATTGTTAAATGTGCTTTTTTCCTGTTATATATCATACGTAGTGGAATACAAATAGTGCACTTGAAACCATAGGCACAGGTCTTAAATAAATCAATCCTAACATCTTGACAAAAAATACCGTGACCATGTTTAAAGATGTGTCAAACAGAATAATATATTACTGACTATTTTCAAGTAGATTTCCCTGAACACTTCCCACTTCTACTATTGGTCAGGTAAACAAAGAGCCCTGCCCAAAACTCTCACAATTTGTGGAGCCAGTGTTGCTATGCCAAGCTGGTCAGATACACATACAAACAGAGCAATGTTTGTAAAGAGCCACAGTGCTTTTTTAGGGAAATAAACCTATGAATGACTTATAGTTGTCTCTTTATATTATAATGGGATGAGAGAGCATATTTTAACTTTCAAAAAATTGCAAACTTCACTTCAAGTGTAAAATAAATTATAACAAAAAATAATTGCACTTTTTAAATTTAGAATATGATAATAAAGCTTCACCTTTAAATTTAGAATAAATTATGAATAGTTAATTTTTTTAATTTAGAATAAGATTTTAAAAAGAACCTTTAAATGTAAAATAAATATGATATTCGCCGTTGAATTTAAAATATGACAAAGAATTTAACCTTTACATTTTGAATATGATAAAAAAAAAAATCACCTTTAAATTGACTAAATATGACAAGCGAAGGTGTATCCCTTAAAGACATTCAAAGCAGTTTACTCACACTTCCCACTTCTACTATTGGTCAGGTAAACAAAGAGCCCTGCCCAAAACTCTCACAATTTGTGGAGCCAGTGTTGCTATGCCAAGCTGGTCAGATACACATACAAACAGAGCAATGTTTGTAAAGAGCCACAGTGCTTTTTTAGGGAAATAAACCTATGAATGACTTATAGTTGTCTCTTTATATTATAATGGGATGAGAGAGCATATTTTAACTTTCAAAAAATTGCAAACTTCACTTCAAGTGTAAAATAAATTATAACAAAAAATAATTGCACTTTTTAAATTTAGAATATGATAATAAAGCTTCACCTTTAAATTTAGAATAAATGATGAATAGTTAATTTTTTTAATTTAGAATAAGATTTTAAAAAGAACCTTTAAATGTAAAATAAATATGATATTCGCCGTTGAATTTAAAATATGACAAAGAATTTAACCTTTACATTTTGAATATGATAAAAAAAAAATCACCTTTAAATTGACTAAATATGACAAGCGAAGGTGTATCCCTTAAAGACATTCAAAGCAGTTTACTCCCTCTGTTGGTTGCAGATTATACCAAAGATTTACCTCACCATTGGTTTTATGCAGCCACTGAATTGCAGCTATATATGCTATGTAATGAGCTGCTAAATCATGTATGCCAAAAGCATGAATATAACATTCTTGTTTGTCTTCCTCTTATAGACACAACATGCAAAATGAAAGGTGTTCACTGGAGCGGAGGAATATATATTGAGCTTAAAGAGTACTTCATTTCTAGGCTGTTAGCTGTTTTGGGGCGTGAGGGAGCCATTTATAGTGCAGGGGAAAACACTGTGCACCCAGGCAGTCACACAAAAATACACACACGCACGTATTTGTCTCATATCCTTTTCTGCCTGGCATCAGTTGGCATGGTGTCCATGGGGACATACTGTAGATATAAGTATCCTTTAACCGTGTGTTAAAGCACTAGCAGCCTGTGAAGTGTCTCCATTGACATTTCCAATAGAGTGACTGAAATTACAAGAAGGGAACATCTTATCACAGGGCAAAAAAGGAAAGAAGTGAAAATGCTGAGATGATGAGGAGAACTGAAGTACTTATACACAGAATTAGTGTTTCTCGCATTAAGAATCTGGATCCTCACTAACTTTCGTCACTACCCTGAACACCTGTGGTCACACTGAATCAAACCACTGCTGTACCTCATTTTACTTAGAGCTTTGCATCTAAACAGTAATATTGCATTAATGCTTCTGTGAATTTGCTTTGTAAATTAAAATGATCAAACTTTTTTAAGCCAAGGACCCCTAAACATGAACTAATGTGTAATATATATATATATAAACAATATATAAATCATATTATCTGGAGAATATTTGCTGTGCATTAAGTTCTACCCACTATTAGGAGTAATGTAAGCTGAACAAATCTTAAAAAAAAAAAAAAAAGTAGTTTTCAAATCTTAAAAAAGTAAAAATAATTGTGATTAATCTCATAATTTCCAACCAGCATAAAGCAAGCAAAACAACATAAAATTTTGTAAATGTGTTAAAAAAAATTGTCTTAAAGGTTGTAGTTGTCTTTGTTGTAGTTGTCTCAAAAACTACAACAAACGACTCGTTTGGACTACAATGCATATTTTCCGGGATTTGTGATATCACAAATATCGACGAATGGGGCAAGACCTGGTTGAGCTGCACTAGAGAAGGCAACGAGTGTTATCACTATGTCGGAGACACGCTAGCTTTCCCAAGGCAGATGAACTTAGAGTGGTTACAATCATCCGGGTTTAAATCACGCTCAAATTGATTTGATTTTGACGCAATATTTACACTGAAGCTCACAGGTGGCGATGGTAAGATGGCTATGGTGGCTATGGCATGACATTTCCCGAAAAATATGTGAAAAATAATGTGTTTTTCGAACAACCTAGTATGAGAGCCTGTTCTAGTACACCCCCAAAACAAAATCAAGACTTCGTAAAAGAGCATAATAGGACCCCTTTAAACATTTTTAATTCATATCTTTAGTTTACTTTGATAAGCCTACAAAATACATTAAGGACAATAAGCAACCCAGTTTGAAAACCCCTCCATTAAGAGATCCTGCTGATGTGTGGTGTACAAATAATGAAAAGCATTGCACAAATTCTATATCCACACAATTTTTTTCCCTCATTATTCTGTTTTTTTTTTCTTTTATTTCTCCAGAGTAAGCCAGCTTTCCTGACCGCCGTCCACAGTTAAGGTAAGACCTCAAATTCCTGCAAGTCTTCAACAAAGACCCCCACCCCCCACTCATTCCTGTTATAAACTGTTATCCTGGTGATCTTTCAAAACAGAGAATACAATGGTTAAAGCTTATTTATGAGAAGGTATTCTGGACTGTAAGGGAAGAAATCATAACATACCACCTTCATGCAATTCCAGAGCTCCACACTTAACCTTTATTTACCCTTTGTTTTACACATTGAAGTCTTTCTGCATCATAATAGAATAGAATAGAATTTATTAAATTGACGTTGGGCTCATAGTAGCACCTTTTCATTATAATACAAATTTTGAGTAGTTTTTTGAGTGACCAGGTTATTTCATCTGCTGATAATCTCAAATCTGGCTCCTCATCAAGCTTCTGTTTCTGCCCCCTTCCCCTCTTTCTCTTATCAGCCTCTCACACTCAGCCTGTTTGTATAATTACCATGACTCTGTATGCCCTAAAAGAACAGCAAAGCATCAAAAGAAAGAGCAAGAAAACATCTAACAACATCAGGAAATAGGCTTCCCTGGTTGTCAGTTTTTTAGGTGGAGGACAATGTGAATGGGAGCAGCACACTAAAAATAATTAGTACACACAAAAAAAAAAAAGTCCGCCAACTATTCGACTGAGAGGGTGGATTGTAACCACTAAATGTGGTCATGTATTTTTGTTCTGCAGACAGGCTGTCCCAAGTTAGCTGTCCTACTCCTCTACAGCACCCTCCACTTTCTAATTAGCAAAACTACCGCTCTTTATTCGGTTAACAGCCTAAACTGACTGCAGTTTAACAAGAGATCAATGAAATATCTCCGGTTGGATGCAGCGTAAACTGTGGCATTGAGGGTTAGCCAGACAGAGGCATATAAATTAGCATAAATGAGTGCGTGATGGCAAGACATATTGCCTCAGACACTTATATAAATGGGAGAAGTTCTCTGATCAATAGGGGTCAAAGCACAAAGTGGAGAGAAAACCGCAGTTACGTAACAGACGGACACCCACATTCCCGCTATTAGAAAAGGAATTATGAGGAGGCACGGTGATGTGACAGTGGGAGTATAGGAAAAATCACTATTGTGACATTAGCCTTGATTAGGGCCAAAGATTTCAGACAGGAAGGGCTTGCAACCAAAGCAATGAGAAGATATTAGAGAGAACAAATGAGAGATGAAAAGGGAAAGCAATGGAGAAATGGACCGCTGCCCTTGACGTGCTTGTCTGCAAGAGATACTGCATAGTGAGCGCTTAAATCTAGTGGACAGATAATGGCATGATGACAAAATGGAGAGTCTTCTCCATAAAAAGCTGGTCTTTAGAGAACATCTTCTAATTAAATGATACCACAACCAGATATTGTCCTTCAGCCATTCACACTTTGGGCAGTTTAACATTCTATTCAATCTATTCAATATGAGCTGATAGGAGTATGCAACCGTCTAAACAATTGTGGTTGGTAAGACTGATTATTTATTTATTTATTTATTTAATTTAATTTAAGTCTCTTATGGTCATAAAGGCTACAAATATTTGTTCAAAAATACAGTAAAACAGTAACATTGTGAAATATCATAATTAAATTAAGCATTTTCTATTTTAATATATTGTAAAATGATTCCTGTGATGGCAAAGCTGAATTTTCAGCAGCCATTACTCTAGACGTGAGTGTCACATAATCCTTGACAAATAAAATGCTGATTTGGTGCTCAAGAAACATTTTGTTTTATTATTATCAATGTTGAAAACAGCTGTGCTGCTTAATATTTTTGTGGAAACCATGATCCATTTTTTCAGGATTCTTTGATGAATTTTGCAATCTTTTAGAATACTCTAAATGTCTTTCTGATCAATTTAATGTGTGAATCAATAACTTTTTGGAGAAAACATTATAGGTAGGTGTAGTAGCGTATAGTCCCAATGAGATCAGTCCAAAGAGCCCACTGATGATCCCTCTGGAGCTGCAATAACCCAAACCACAACAGTCTGCACTGCACAGATAAAGTGTTCTCCATGTGAAATTAACAGGGTTGTATTACATAAATCTGCATGTTTAAATAAAAAAGTCAATCCCCTTGTCAGGTCCATAATTACTGAATTTTCACTGGGTATTAGTGTGTGTTATGACACAATGAAGAAAACAATGGTTTGTTTAATATAGTAGAGGAGCTTCTAGGCCAGATTATTTGTGGCACAATGATAGACAAATCCCGAACAAGACCTTGGAATCTCCGTAAACGTCATGATTTTGCGATTATCTGAGCATAATGCTCTAGTAGTTAACATTTTTAGTTATGTTGCATGAGTCAGATATCATCTTACAGTACTGTTGTACTCTGTATTTCCTCTCTCTACCAAATTAAAATGAGACTGAATAAAATAATTGTCAAGTTTGTGACAGACACGTATTGTAATGTCAGTGGGGCAGCTGTACGAAGCTTACAGAAGCTCTGGTTGCAGTGTGTGTGTTGAGGATGGGGGTTGGTTTACCTCACCAGCAGCACCACACAGATGGCTCAGTGGGTCCCGAGTTATAATAATCAAAATGAAACATCCTGATACAAGGATGTTATTGCTCCATGTTTTATTCAACAACTACAAACAGAGACTGACCCATCTTTGTCTTTTTCATTCCCTCAGGTTACCAAATGAGAAGAGGCTGCAGCAATGAAGAAAATGTGGGGTGAAAATATGGACAAGTAGAGGAAGAAAAACAGAAGGAATAAAACTAGCAGCTAACTCACTATACGCACACTCAATATACTCTCAGATCACCGCTATCATATCTTCTCTGTTTTTTCATCCCATTCTGTGAAGGCCGTTCTGAATTGCTTGCCCTAGGAAACCTTCAGCTGGCAAGAGGTCAGCCAGTCAGCTGCTGGTGTGCAGCTATTAATGATGTATATAAAGAGCCACATGGGTGTTTGGAAGAGGGTGCCATACTACTGAACACAGCACGGACACATGCTCCCGTCCCGTCACGCTGCCTGTCGAGCTGCACCAAGTGCCATAGCATCACATTCCTAATGGGGACCAGTACCAATGATGCTCACAGCCAGCGAGGGGCTCACCAATACGCCAAAATCCCCCAAAATCTGTAAACACAGAACTGTAGGAATCACACGCATCACATCACATCCCCAATAAAAACAAACTACACGGTGAGCCCTGCCTTAAGAAATCTGGCAGAGGCACAGGTCTGGTCCCTGCTCACTTTTCTTTGCTTACTATTAAATGTGTTTTTCCATTCTTTTTCTTAGCACTTACCATTCTAATGCAGTGCCAGTGAAATCATGCCGCCACACATGACACTTGAGACCGTTGAAATCGATCATTATCTTTTCTCTTCTTGCTCTGACTGTGTTTTTACAAATGAATCTGAGGGACTTTATAAACTATAGCTGAAAGGGACACTGGATTGTAAATATTATCTTTTTATAATGAAGAAACAACATGTAAATGCTTTCATACTGAACTTTAGTGCAGGAGTCTGCCTGGATAAATCGCATAGTACGCCCGAGAGGAGAGCAGAAATACTGAAAAATGTTAACAAGTGAACAAAGCCAAGGTTATCGTCTCTTGTCTAGTGTTTTTCAGTGAGGAATTCCTTCCGCAGTGCCGGGTTACCCACCCAGACAGGCAAACCTTCATTTTAACTGCGGATAAGATTCACACAAGCTCAGTCCATAAGAATGAAAGTCTTTGTATGTTGGCTTACCTTGGTCATTTGGTTTTACATATCCCTTTACCGGAAAAGAAGAGGCAGAAATTATCATAGTGCATTGCAGCCAAGTTAATTACCTACACTGCAATCCATCCATTTTCAGAGGTTAAGCTAAATCTGTTTTTTGGGGGGGATTCTGTGAATTTTGTGGAGGTTTTTTTTAAAGTAGAAAACAGATATTTGAATATGCTGCATACACTAAGAAAAGTACTTTGCTTTTCACTGAGTAGTCATGAATATGAAGAGATAAAGCTGGAGGGTAAAATTGCAGAAAATATCGATTTTTGCTGTTATTGAACTGTGTGGTTTCGCTTCAGAATGTAGTTTGTAATATATGCAATTTAAAAGAAGATTTGATCCCTAACAAACATGAAAGCTTTGACAGTGGCAATAATTTGTATATCCTGATATTTAGCAAGATTTTCTTAGAGCACACACACACACACACACACACACACACACCACTGTCACTTTTTTGCAACTTGGTGTTACCAAATCTGTCTGCGTCTGAAGCCGTTTGCATATAAATCTGTGTTTCCATCCTGAGAAAAGCACCTTGCCTATAGATCGAAGCGGAAAAAAGACGATCTGTGTTTTGAAAGTCTGACTTAACGTATCATGTGAAATTACCGTCCTTATTTGCCAGTCATATCCTTTTAGCTTTCATCATGCCAGGTGAAAAGCCTTTGAATGTGATTCTGTCCAATGTGTTTACACATGCAAATTTATCTTAATGAAGCTTTTGTATTATTATTATTATTATTCTTTTACATGTCTTTTTCTTGCTTTTTACAAATATGAGTTTTATATATAAACACTATAAAGATAAACTATATTATGCAGCAATTTTAATATATTGTAAACTGCTTTGATGCAATGTATTTATTATGTTTTTGATTTGTTTATTTGCAACCCTTGCTGATAAGATGGAATAAGGGAAAAATAATGTCATAGATAGTATGTACAGTTCTGTTTTTGTTTAACCATTTGAAGAATCTCTCAGTTGTTCATCTCGGAGAACTGTTTTTTCGCAAGAGCCAATTATTTTACTGGTTCACACACACAGCATGATTTACACTTATACAAAAGTACATGTATTGTGTACCAACATGTTTGTTAGACCAATGAACTGATACTTTACCTGATTTATTTTGCACAAGCAACTGGGTGTGTGAATAATGTGCTGATCAGGGGGTTTTCTCTTACTGTCTAATTCAATAGTTCTACACTGGCATTTTGTAAGTGCTAGCTTTGAAGGATTATTACACATTCACTGCCTGGCTACTAGCTTATTTAAAAAAAGTAATTTTACATGCTGTCAATGATTATATGACTATTTGTTTATTTGTTTGTTGAAAGGCAATGCTCACGGTGACCTGGATGGGATGAACGACTGGCTTAATATTTGTAAGGCCGAGTTCATTTTATCAACAAAATTCTACTGCTAATGTGCAGTTTTATGAGATCATTTTAATTGCTGAATCGTGAGAGTTGAGTATTTCAGATTGCACATTTTCTTGTCATACAAGAATTCTGTAAAGATGAACCTATTTCTGATGTCAAGCAGAAATTAAAAGGTGATTTTATTTTTTAGAGCAAGTGTGATTATAAAGAGAAGTATCTAGGACATTTACTGTGATGCTCCCACAGGGATATACACCTATATGTAACTGATCAAAATAAACTTATTTAATCAAAACAGAACAATATGGTGTCTTTTTTTACATTATTCACCACAAGTGCATTTGATTTGTCATTCGTTAATGCTATGCATTAGGTATCATGACCTAACAATGAACTACCATTTTTACAGAATTCATTAATCTCTCTATTTCTATTTTTTTAAATACCCCATTATGCGGTGAAAATCATAGGTAAAAAACGATATAAATACTGTACAGTTTCTTGCACAGACCAATCGTTTAGTGTCTTTTCACATCAATGTATCATCACGAGCCGCAGGGTTTAATTTGGTTTTGTTTGTGTATGTTTTTTGACTCTCAAATCCGTGATTCCCATCCACTGACATTATAGGACTGACAGACAGCAAAAGTTTAAGTTAAAAATCTTTGTTTGTGTTCTACTGAAGAAACAAAGTCAACTACATCTTGGATGCCCTGGGGGTAAGCAGATAAACATCAAATTTTCATTTTTGGGTGAACTATCCCTTTAAGCAGCACAACCATTTTTAACATTGATAATAATAAGAAATGTTTCTTGAGCACCAAATCAACAGGATAATTTCATGGATCATGTCTGACTAAAGACTGGAGTACTGGCTGCTGAAAATTTTGCTTTGCCATCACAGAAATAAAATATACTCAAAAATGTATATTTTAAATATATTAAAATAGAAAAATGGTAATAATATTTCACAGCACTACTGTTTTTACTGTAGTTTTAATCAAACAAACGCAGCCCTATAAGATATTAAAGATCATCAGACTAAAAATATCACAAAATCTGTCCATTCTTGGAAGATCCTTCCATACTACTGATTCTCAGAGTGATTAGAGCCAGGACACCCAATCTGAGAGCTACACTCCTACAGCACATGAATGGCCTCTAATGTCACAGAACCCCATTAGCACATACCTGGGGGGACAGAAAGGAGACTTTCACTGCTCCAGAGCAGGAAGCCCTCTCTTTTCCTCTTTTTCAGAGGCAGGAGGAGGGGTGGGCAGAGCAAAAGGTTTTATTTTCATAGGCCAGTGTGAGAATCAGCCCGGATTTGGGGGACAGGATAAAGTCCAGCATTGTTTAGAGAGGCACAGTGCACCTCTGTTGCCCGGCAACAGTTTCTGTGACTCCAGAGAAGAAGAATGTAGATGGTGAAGGTCACCAGTGTGTTGACAAGACATGAAACACCTACACAGCCAGTGACTGTTGATGAAAATATAAGAAAATGTGCCTAGCAACAGCTGTCACATTCGTCCATATTACAGATGGAAAAAAAACTATATTTGCTCATGGTGTGACCCGAACCGCATATGAAAGCAAATCGAGAAAGTTCACAATATCTGCAACCGAGTACAGAATTACCTCAGAAGAAAAACTTCTGAAAAGCTCCTGTAGACACTAACTTCAACAGAAGACCCATAATGGCCAATATCTCCAAAAAGTCAACCAATAATGATGAGGTGTTTTCCTTTAGTTAAACGCAAAACGCCCCAAAACTGCTTACTGTGGCTGCGTTCAATCAGAAGTATTGATCACGGGAGCTTTTCTAATCACAAGTGACACCCCGTCTAACCTTTGACAGGAAGCTCCTCATCTAGTTTAAAGGAAACATTTCAACGTTCATTTTCAATCTAACCATTCGATTACAGTGTTACACACTAAAGATGATCCGTCTTATTTACAGCCATTTCAATATTTACATTTGTAAAGAAATTGAAATGCTAATTAAAAATATATTGGATTCTGAAATGAACAGAATATACGTCAGACTTCTAAGGGTAAATTCAAATCAGAAAATTCAAGGTTTGTATTTAGATGAAGTGTACTGATGAAGTGATGAAGACCTTTCTCCGCTGGACTCTGATAACCCCACAGAAATGCACTGACCAAGCAAACCAAACCTATTTCTAGCATGACACCATGAGAAAACATTGTCAAAGTCAACAGCACAGTGGAGATCTGACAGGAAACTCTAGGGTGTAGACAGGATATAATGGTTCCTTCTACTCAGCAGGAAAATCAATGTGGCGATTTCTTTTCCATGGAACTGTTCAAACATGCTGTGGTCCAAAGAAACAAAAAAATAAAAACAAGGGTAATTTTAGGGGCACTTTCTAGCCTAAGCACATAGTTGCTGAGGCTTGTGTCAATTTTTGTTTGGTTATTTTGACAAGGCACTTTTTTAAGCTATTTTGCTAGTTAGAACATTAAGTCGATACATAGAACAGACACTGTAATTTAGTTCAAGACCCTTGTTCTCTATTAAAACAGTGCTGAGGAAGGTGTATGGAAAGGATAATTCATCCAAAAATGAAAATTCTGTCATCATTTACCCTCATGTCACTCCAAACATGCATGACTTTCTTCTGTGGAAGACAAAAGAAGATATTTTGAAGATGCTTTTCAGTGTTTTTTGTACATACAATGTAAGAATACACAAGAAAATATATATTTTGAAGAGCTGTTTTTCTGCATACAATAAAAGTCAGTGGAGTACAAAACAACCCCATTGAATTTATTGTATGCAAGAATTTTTTTTATTTTTTGTCAATTCATTATTTCAATTATTTATATTTTGTCTTCAAAATATATTCTTTTGTGTTCCACAGAAGAAAGTAAATCATACAGGTAAGGAAGGACATGAGGGTGAGTAAAAAAAATGTTTGCGTGAACTTTACCTTTAATAAATAAAATAACTTTGTTAGAGCAGAAGCTGCTCCTAGGTCTTGAAACTTAAAAACTAACGAAATACTGTACATACACAGGCAATGTTTAAGCTGACACAGATCATCCATCTGACGCCTGAATGAATCTAACAACCATGAGCGTCTAGTACAACACTTAATAGCTTATATAAATACAAAAATAAGTTGTGAATACCTGATAACTAGTACGTAAATAACTAGTATGAGGGTTTGTAATGTGACTGAAACTTCACAAGTCTGCAACACTAGAAAGAAAAACTCGACTCACACTAGAGCACACCAGCTGAAAAGCATAAAATACTATATGGAGACTGAGAGTCGCATGATATTCATGCTGTCTGATTATGAATGAAGTCATTCTGCGCACGTTTTAGTGCAGTCAGCGTATTTGCTATTCCTCTTCAAACGCCAGAGACCGATACGAAAGGTCAAAGCTAAGAATAGAGCCCTACAACACAAAATTCAGCATAATTGTGCATTTAGGGACTACAATGACACATGCTTAAAAGCACACTTCATTAAATATAGAGACGAAAAGGAAAGACGCCACACTCTCCGTCTTCACTCATCAATATAAAAAGAAAGAAAGACAGAAAATAGCACACAAGAACAGAGAGATCTGATCTCCTATCTAAAAAAAGAAAGCCCTGGGGACAAATTCAAACCCGTTCACAAAATCATGCTTTCAACATGATGGAGGCATCCAACCGTATTTCTTCAATGAAAAGAATAACTGCTTTTACGGATGAGGTTTCTGAAGTCAGACAGAACTGCAAAATGTACAGCTGAGGCCTACTCATCAATTAATTAAATATGTGGACATTATTTAATTTTTTAGACAAAAATTATTTACCTGAATATTATCTTAAAGCCCCTAACATGTGCAAACATGTAAATGTGCAATAGACATACTCTGGTAGGCCTATTCTTGTATAGGCCTATTGTTTTATTTTATTATTATTATTATTATTATCTTTTATAACTGTGTAGAAGCTTCACCAAAATAAATAAATAAATAAATAAAATCCTTAAGCCTATACTACTAAGCAATAAATTTAACTGACTAAAAAAAGTCGATTTCAAGGTTTCAGCTACCTGGATGAGCAGTCTACAGTTTTGCCATGGATAACCAATCAAAGTATTTCTGAATGTAATAAAAGATAATAATAAAAAAAATATTACAACAGCCGATAGAAACAGAAGAATACAGGTAAACAGCAGAACCACAGCACTCTCATTATGAACTCATTATCTTTAGCACTAATGTAATTAAGAAGCTTATAAGCTTGGTAATTCAGACTGACATGCTAAATTAATTGTCAGTTTAAAAATTACTTTCAATTTTCATGCCACCTTGAAACCCATTCACCCACTTATGAGCACCGACATGGACTACAGTGTAATGCAATGTGTTGGTTATAAGACATTTTTGTAGAGGAGTGTGTGTTCGATGGACAAAGATGTGCAACTTAATTAAATTACTAATAGCCTCTTTAGCACCGATGCTTAAGATGGATTGTACAAGTGTGTCTCATGGAAAGCCACATGGTGTTTTAGGGCCATTTGTGAATTTTCGCTTCCACGCACGCTGGCTCTGTCTTCAACACAGACTGATCTCACTAATAAGCAGCAGTGCACCACTCTAACAAGACTCAAGTTCACATTCTCTGCGCGCATTCATTTTCGTGGCCGTTTCCCATTCATCACGATGCACATGCATCTTAATGAACATAGCATGCTACATGTGACTCATTCGCAGCACTTCATGAGCCCCTGCAGTGGAATCGACCAACTAGAGCACGTATGAATAGCCTACTCAACATATGAGCACAGCTGGAAATGTGCCAAGAAGACACATTTTGCAAAGCACATAGATTCTGCTATTCTGTTGTTATTGATTAAATGAATACAGTAAAAGCTTAAGTAAACCATTTGTGCCGGTAGCTCAGAGTTTTTCCCATATATTAACATATCTTTAAAAAAGATTGGCATAAAATGAGTGCATGTATACATCAAAAACAACCATCTTGTTAAAATCTATATAATTTCATTATTATTATTAAATGTAATTAATATTTTTTAAAGAAGTTTCTTATTCTTACCAAAGCTGTATTTATTTGATCAAAAATACAGTAAAGTAGACAGTAATATTGTGAAATATTATTGTAAATAACTTTATTTTAATATATTTTAAAATGTGATTTATACCTGTGATGGCACAGTTGATTTTTCAGTCATACATGATAGCTAAACAAAAATGGTGAAGGTTAAAAGATGAAATCTTGCATAGATCTTTAATAATAGGCTGCTGTTA